TTTGGTTTAATGACAAGGTAAAATGTTTGGTTTGAAATGCGTTGTTTTGTTAATGACTAATGTCTTTCTTCAGAAAAGGTTATATGTTGTTGGAGAAATGTTTCACGGAAATTTAGATGATTATACAGTTAGCAGTCACTGGTGATGCAAAAGGTAATGGCTATTATCTTATTCATAACTAGAAGACAACCCAGAGATTTTAGCTAAAGAGAAGAAAATGATTGAGGATACATAAGTATAATGTCAACATGCAAATATCATGAAAAGTCTAACGGAAACTTAACATAATACGTATCATAATGATAAATTTATGATAATTTTTTCTCATGTATGCCATGATTTGAAACATTTGGGATTTTGCTGGTAAGTCGCAGCCTTTTTCTATAAATTTCTTTTCATCTTCAATATGCCAACCAGGACTTTGAAAACAAGGTATGTTAGTTTAATAATTATAGATGAAGAAAAAATTTTAAAACTTTTTATATATTTGGCAATCATAATAGTAATTGATGAATTGGCAAATTTGTTTTGCATCACTGCACTCATGCATATTCTGTTTATTAATAATAAATGTTTATTGCATGATCAATTTGAAAATTTGTTGAGACAAAGAAATTATTTATATAGGCATTTCTATTTCTATAATCTGTTTGCATGATTTTATACATACTGGAAGGTGTATATAATAAAACCATACAAGAAGAGGTTCTAAGTGTGGGAAATAGTTATCAAAGAATCAAAATATGGTTTACAAATATTTTATGGCAGAAGAGAAAAAAGGAAGAAGCAAAGAAGAGATGAAGGAGAGGAGGGAGGAGGGAGGAGGGAGGAGGGAGGAGGGAGGAGGGAGGGGAGAGGAGAGAGGAGAGAGGAGAGAGGAGAGAGGAGAGAGGAGAGAGGAGAGAGGAGAGAGGAGAGAGGAGAGAGGAGAGAGGAGAGAGGAGAGAGGAGAGAGGAGAGAGGAGAGAGGAGGGAGGAGGGGGAGGGGGGAGGGGGGAAGAGGGATAAAGGAGGGAAAAGGGAAATGGGAGAAGGAAGGAAGAGGGAAATGGGAGAAGGAAGGAAGAGGGAAATGGGAGAAGGAAGGTAGAGGGAAATGGGAGAAGGAAGGAAGAAGGAAATGGGAGAAGTAAGGAAGAGGGAAGGAGGAAAGAGGAAGAAGGACAGAGGTAGGAAGCAGAAAGAAGGAGAAGAAAAGAAACAAAGGAACTGAAAAGAGGAAGACAAATTTTTAAAAAGAGGAAGAAAAAGTAGGCAAGGAAGGAGTAGGAGAAGGAAAAGAATGAGAATGAGAATGAGAAGGAGAAGGAGAAGGAGAAGGTGAGGGAGAGGGAGGAGAAGAAGAAGGAGAAGGATAAAGAGAATAAGGATAAGGAGGACAAGGATAAAGAAGAGAAGGATGGGGATGTGGATAAAGATGAGGAGAAGGAGAAGGAGAAGAGAAGAAAGGACAGGAAAAGATGATGAATAAGGAGAAAAAGAAGACAAATATAAAAAGAAGAAAAAGGCAGAATATTTTTGACTTCATAAATGTTAGATAATGTCATTTAACATCCATGATATGTCAATTACATGCAAATAGAATGATTCTCTAAACAGTGTACAGATTTTATCATGCAAAGCTCATTATCCACATTGCTTAGTAATATATAAAAGTAATGATAATAATAAGGTAAGCCCATGCTGAATGCTGCATTCTCGAAGGCCTGTGTCAGGTCCAAATCACTCTCAGCATCAGAGAACTTCGAACTCCCAAACACTAGGTCAGCACTGAAGCACCTTAATTCACTTAGTCATTGAGTACACATTTTATAAAACTGGTTAATGTCTTCCTTATTTTATGATATACTCTTGAAGTAGGATTTAAATATGATTTTGATTTATATTACCTGATCTTCATATATAACCCTGAAAGCTAGGATTAGATATTAAAATCCTTATCATTTAGGCCTTGAAGTAGGCGTTTATGCTCTTGAGGAATTATTAACTCACTCATTGATTTTTTTTTGATTTTTTTAATGATGGTGGGAGCTCATTCCTCCTATAGGATACCAGGCCTGATATAAATGCTATAGACCCTCGTAAGGGATGAAAATTCTGTAACCTTGATATAAAATGATGCCACTAAATTGCATTCTTGTGGCTGCTGATCCTTAGATTTTAAAATCACAAGACGCATAAGAAAAAAAAAGAAAAGAAAAGAAAATAAAGACAGAAAGATAGAAAGAAAGAAAGAAAAAAAGAAAGAAAGAAAGATAGAAAGAAAGAAAAAAAAGAGATTAGAAAAGCTTTTGCTTTTGTGACATATTCCTCACGCTGTCATCAAAATCTTTTCTTAGTTTCATCATATTGTTTTCATATATTTATCTCTATATATTGTAATAAACATCTTTCTTCTAAAATATAAGCTTTAATTTCATCAATGTTACTAATATTAACAGATTACTTATACTTTAGGTATTGTAGGCAGAGCTTTTCTAATTCTTAAATACAGTAATGCAGTTAGGCTATGTTATGTCTTAGCTCAATTATCAAAAAATGCATTTTTCTTGAAGTCACACTTTTCTTCTAGGGTAATAAATACTGATCAGATTATCTCTAACCCAACTAATAATCCCCTTCATATAATTGGCAACTCAATTGTAATCATGTTTCTTTTAATCTTCTTAATGTTGCAGAGTTTGGGATCATTGATTTTAATTCAATTCAATTATTTTCTAGTTCAAAGAAGAAACTGTAGTATAACTCAGTACTTGACCTTTTCCCTACTTATCTTTTGGTAATTTGAACTTTATATCTTGTCACTGAATCAATATCTCCACAAATAACTGGACTAAACTTAATTTATTTTGTTAATTTTGTGTTTATAGCCATGCACCTAATTCTAGTAATGTAAAATGTGTTCCATTTATTGTCTTGTTAAACTGTAGGATGACAAATGGAGTACCTCATTGGAACAAACTTTTTCACAGTAAAGAGATCACATTTTGATAGCTGGTTTTATACAACCGTTACTTAGTAAAATGTCATCACAAGATTTTTCAAATGTGTACAGACAACCAGTTTAACTTATGGAATTGTCTTTATGCACCACAAGTCTTCATTTCAAGCTGGTGCTAGCAGGAACATGTTTGTGATGGATTCCAGAAAGATGAGATTAAAGTTTATGATGTTTTCAAGCACTTTCCTGTAAGTTTCTTCTTCATTTAAATGATTTTGCTATATCTCTTATCTGGTGTACAACATAGACATATTCCACTGAAGCTTCATTTTTATATTTTCTGTAAATATATTATTTACTATTACCACTATATATATATATATATATATATATATATATATATATATATATATATATATATATATATATATATATATATATATATATATATGTACATATATGTGTGTGTGTGTGTGTGTGTGTGTGTGTGTGTGTGTGTGTGTGTGTGTGTGTGTGTGTGTGTGTGTGTGTGTGTGTGTGTGTGTGTGTATATAAATGTATGTATATATGTATTTATGTATATATATATGTATTTATGTATATATATATGTATATATATGTATTTATGTATATATATATATGTATATATATGTATATATGTATATATGTATATATATGTATATATATATACATATGTATATGTGTCTATATATATATGTATATGTATATATATGTACATATGTATATGTGTCTATATATATATGTATATGTATATATATGTATATGTATATATATATGTATGTATATATATGTATATATATGTATATGTATATATATATGCATGTATATATATGTATGTATTTGTGTATACATATGGATGTATATATATGTATCTATGTATATTTATGCTTGTGTGTATATATAGACACAATATATATATATATGTGTGTGTGTGTGTGTGTGTGTGTGTGTATGTGTATGTGTATGTGTATGTGTATGTGTATGTGTATGTGTATGTGTATGTGTATGTGTATGTGTGTGTGTGTGTGTGTGTGTGTGTGTGTGTGTGTGTGTGTGTGTGTGTGTGTGTGTGTATGGATTTATGTATGTATGCATATATACAGGTATATGTATATATATCATTGTATCATTATGCTTTTCCTTATAGGTATGGCCCATAGCTGTGCATGATATCAGGATACAATAAAGATTTGAGGATATTGTGTCATGCAAAAAAAAAAGGAATTTCATAATGTAATTAATAAATGTACATCCAAAAGAATGTGCTATTAGTAGTGATTGAAAATTCATGAACTGGTCTTATTTAGGAGCAAATTGTAGGTGCCTCATAAAAGGTTATGCAATTTGCATATTTGCTAATTCTATTCTCTTTTTATTGTGCATGCATGCGAGTGTGTGTGATTGTGGATGTGTGGCATGCTCATACATATAACTTGACTTATTTTGCATACTTTTTAACTGTTTATTTCTACCACTCTAGAAAGAAAGAAGTTTTTCCCAGTCCTTTCATTTATAAACTATATTAACACAAGGAAGTTGGTAGATAACTAAGAAGACATTTCTTATAGCAAAGAAGCCAATATAGGCTATTATGAAAAGTAAATTTTTATGCAAGCCCCAAGTTGTGCCATGTTGACATTTCTTTATATGCTTTTCTTGTACCAGTTACAGAAAAATAAAGGGTAATACAAATTTAAAGTTAATCTGCACATCTTTCCTTTGCTTTATAAAACTGAGTACACATGTTATTTACAGCTTGTATAATACATTTCATTATGTCTTAAATAATTTGGTCATTTAAAGCAGAATTAGCTTTACTGGGCCTTTCAGTTTAGGTCACTGCACAATACATGTGCAACATTTGAGTTTTATTGAGTACTTTTCCAGCTACAAAAAATAGAACTCATCTTGGAATATCTGTTGTCTGGGCAACATTTCAAGAACATTTGAATACTCTTTCAGAAATAAATTTTGGGCATCTTGAAGATGGTGTCGCAGAGCTGGTGCAACGCCATCATGAACGTCGGAGCACCATGTCCTTGCGCAGACGTCCTTATCCGTTGCAAGCCTGCTTCTCTTCCCCTGAACCTGGAAATCCCATGGCTTCACCCACCATTCTGAGGGATCTCCGGGAAGCCTCTGAACCCCGGTCTAGCCTTCCTGACATCAGAGATCATGACTCGCACTCTCGCCACAGTGCTTCGGCCTCCATGAGGGGAGAGCAGCAGCGTTTATTCCCAGACAGGTCGGAGAGTGAAGGGACAGCAAACCCTGAAGTGACTTACCGGAATGAAAAGTCGAATGAAGAAGTTCCTATGGTTGCTACATCTACTAACATGCAACCATCGAGTCCAAAGAAACCAGATTCAGAAAATGAGGATGTGGTTTGATGAATTATGAAAAATCTAGAAGCACAAATAAACATTGAAAAAAAGAAATGGGTAACTAGGTCTACTTTTATATCACAAATGGGTTCCCTGTGGCTTTACACAATGCATATGGTACAAGTGAGAGTTTAGCATGGTTTATATTTGCTACTTGATAGAGGTAGTAACTGAGAGTTGTTTTAACTTACTCTGAAACTGATGCAAAATTAGTTATTTTTTTAGCATTCTCTTGTAACATATTTATATCAATAATTCATTCATGTTATTAAATGCCACTGAGGCTGGTGCATTAATTAGATTTCTAAATTAATTGAATGGTAATATGACAATTTCTATTCTTATTGTTGAATATTAAACACTTTGTAGATAATACCAAATCTATATGTTGTTTAATGCATATACCTACAAGTTATGTACAATAAAAAATATATTTTCTCTTGAGAAATGAATAAACAATAACATAATATGAAAAGTCCATATATTTTCATATGGATTTATAGATACAGAGGTTGATATATATATATTTAAATATATATAGTGATACATATATACTTATATATATAAAATGTTTATAAAATTATATATGTATATGTGTATATATATATATATATATATATATATATATATATATATATATATATATATATATATATATATATATATATATATATTTATATATTTATATATTTATATATATATATATTTATATTTATATTATATATATATATATATATATATATATATATATATATATATATATATATATTATATTTATATTTATATTTATATTTATATTTATATTTATATATATATATATATATATATATATATATATATATATATGTAGCTATATATATATTTAGCTATATATATATTGTAGCTATATATATATGTCTTATATATCATATGTAGCTATATAAATATATAGCTATATCAATATAAGAGCTATATATATATATAGCTATATATATCTATAGCTATATTATGTATATATATATACTATATATATATCTATATATATATATATATATATATATATATCTATATATGCTATTATATATATATATATATATATACTATATTATATTATAATATCGATATACTAATATATATATATATATGCTATAGTATATAGCTATATATATAGCTATAATATATTAGCTATATATATAGCTATATATATATAGCTCTATATATCTATATATATATAATATATATATATATATATATATATATATTATATCTATATATATAAATGGTATATATAATGTATATATAAATGTATATATCATGTATATCATAAATGTATATATAATGTATATATAAATGTCTATATAGATATATATATAGATATATATATATATAGTATTATATTATATATATATATATATATATATATATATACATATATTTATAGATATATAGATATATATAGATATAAATAGCTACATATATAACTACATATATAGCTACATATATAACTACATATATATATATATATATATATATATATATATATATATATATATATATATATATATATATATATATATATATATATATATATATATATATATATAGTTACATATATATAGCTATATATATATAGCTATATGTATATATAGTTACATATATATAGCTATATATATATAGCTATATGTATATATAGCTACATATATATAGCTATATATATATAGCTATATATATAGTTACATATATATAGCTATATATATATATATATAGCTACATATATATATATATATATATATATATATATATATATATATATATATATATATTTTTTTTTATATAGCTATATATATATATGGCTATATATATAGCTATATATATATAGCTATATATATATAGCTATATATATATATATATAGCTACATATATATATATATATATATAGCTACATATATATATATATATATATATATATATATATATATATATATATATATATATATATTTTATATAGCTATATATATATATGGCTATATATATAGCTATATATATAGCTATATATATAGCTATATATATATATATATATATATATATATATATATATATATATATATATATATATATATATACATATATACATATACATATACATATACATATACATATACGTATACATATGTA